CATGGGCACTTCATACCCCTCCTGAACGCCCCCAGCCCCAGACCCTTGCCCGCCGCCTCACCTCGCTTGCTGGGCCGCCCAGCTGCCCCGTCCCCGGGGCTGCCCCGCTTCCCCTTGTGCGGCTTGGCCCCGGCAGGCTGGCCGGGCTCGGAGTCCCCAGCGGGGCGATGGCGGTGGTGATGGTGCCGCTCCTGCTGCGGAGGTCCCTGCGGTAGGCTGAGGGGAGAGAAGGTGAAGAGCCCCGCGGCTGCGGCCGGGGGCAGGCCGGGCAGGGCGGCCGGGGGCATTGGCTCCGCCGGGCTGGGCCCCACCAGGAGCGGCTGGCTCAGCCTGGCCCGCTTGCCGCCGACAGCCTCGCCAGCTGGTCCCCGCCGCCTCCTGCCGCCACCCCGGGGCCGGCCGGGTCGGTCCCCCGAGGGTAGCGGGGGTGACTCCTCTGGGCCCCGGGATACGGCGCGCACCGCAGCGACCTGCGCAGCCATTTCACAGTCTCCCTCACACACATTTAAATGGCCCGAGCGCCAGCAGCCAACGCGCAGGCGCCGCGTGATGTCTCGTGGGAACTGTAGTTCCAGCTGCAACATCGGGCCCCGAAGTCCTAATCTCCACGCGCATGCGTAGACGCAGAGCCTGCTGGGAAATTTGTTTGTGTTGGGGCTTCCAGGAGAGAGAAGCGTGCGGCGAGTCACGCAGGCTGACCCGGTCACGTGGGCTCCTGGGGAGCCCAACGGTCATAACGGCCCAAACACCCGAAAGAGGTGAGGCGCGTGCCCCGCCCACACGGCTGGGATGCAGTCCTGGCCCCAGAGTATCCGCTCCCCTTCGGAGCCGGCCTGCCTTGGCCCCGCCTATTCCTCCGGGCCTCCAACCCCACACCTTCCCCTCAGGCCTAGCCCAGCCCGCCCGCCTCGGAACCGCCTGGCGCTGTGCTCAGCCCGACCATCCCTCTCCCAGCCAGCCCCACCCACACTGCCGCGAGCCCAAGGGGCGCTGCGCTCCGAGTTCCCCCCCCCCTTTGCAAGGGCCAGGCCTGTTCCAGTCACTGTAGATGAAAGTGTGAAGCAGGGAGGGTGGGGACGGGTCCCGCGTGCTTTGAACTCAGCTGAGCTGCGGGGAGAAGCGGTGCGTGTACACTTAGGGCTGGGAACAGGCGTGTCTAAGTACATGTCAGCCAGCCAGGCTTAGAGTCGATGCCCGGTTCAGTTGTTGGCCTAGTTCCCGCCAAAAGTGCAGCGGCCCAGTGCGTGCAGCCTGAGGACGCTGGCTGCTGTTCCGTGGCGGGTTTCCATAGGGTGACCAGACAGCAAATGTGAAAAATCGGGACAGGGGGTGAGGGGGAAATAGGAGCCTATATAAGAAAAAGACCCCAAAATCGGGTCCGTCTCTATAAAATCAGGACATCTGGTCACCCTAGGTTTCCAGCTCTCCTCCCGCCGTGATTCTGTTCCCCTTAGCTTGCCCGTAGCGCCCCTGCCTGTTTAATGTAAAAACCGTCTCTGGCCTTTAGCTTGATTCCCAGCTTAAACTTGCAGAAACTATTTTATTGACCAAAACGAATAGCCCAAAGACTGATATACTAGGTCACCAGCCGGCTGTTCAGTTCATCGCTAGAGGGGGCTCAAGAGTTTCCTCACATTAGAAAAGGCTTTAATTTAATTTAAATTACTGGAAGTGCAGAGAGTAAACCAAGAGGCGAGCAGAACACCCACACATTTATTTTACCCACTGCAACCACACAGCTGCTTAAGAGGAAAAAAAAGTGTTTATTTGATTCTATTCAAGATAATAAATGTGCCTTGAGCCCCAGTGTGCTATGTATACCTTACAGGTGCTATTACCCACACACAGCCACAAAGCACAATACAGAGTATTGTAGAGATGCAAATCAGTTACAGTACCTTATTTGGGTCAGAGCCTGCTGAGTTTGGCAAGTCTGCTGTAACTTTGTCAAGGCATTTTAATTGGATTGTAAACTCATTGGGATAAAAACTCCCCCTTTGTCTCTCATACTGTGGTAGGCATGCTAGCAGCATTTAAAATCACAAGGTGGTGATTATCTCACTTATGTACATGAGTCTGTTATGTTATGAAGAGCATGGGAACTCAGAACATAGTCAAAAGAGAACAGATATCAGTCTCCTGCCCTGTCAGTCTAACTTTGTGCCTCAGCTGGTTAAAACATACAAGAAATGTTGTTTTGGCCATATCACCCTACTCTTTGCATCCTTCCACTGGCTCCCCTCTCTCTCTCTCTCTATCACACAACAGCTTCTTGTATGCACTTTCAAGATTCTTCAAAGTGTATCCCCACCCTGCCTATCATCTCTACTACTACTACTGAGGTGTTGATTCCTGCCTCCCAGTGATGCCAGCCTCCATTGCCTTGCCTACTTGTTAAATTTTAAAGCAAGCATCTTTGTGCTTACTTCCATGTTGCCTTTTGTGCTTGGGAGGAGCTCTCTAAACTAGCTATCTCATAATCCTTTAAATTCCTCCCTAAAACTCTCCTTTGCCATCATGTCTGTGAAAGGCTTGACAGCTATTAGGCCCATTATGCTGACCAATACTGTTTCCTTGTACTCCCCCATTTGTCTGTATCCAGCTGTTGTCTCTTGTATTAGATTAGGGCAGTGGTCCCCAACCTTTTTCGTCTGGCGGGCACCAGACGACAAGCCACGGAGGACCGTGGCGGCGGATGAGCATCCGCCGAAATGCCGCCGACAAGCGGCAACGTCAATAGGCGTCGCCGACGAAATGCCGCCAACAAGCAGCGTCATCCAGAGGCGTTGCCGCCGAAATGCCGCCGAAAATCGGCGGCGACACCTCTGGATGACACTGCTTGTCAGCAGCATTTCGGTGGATGCTCGTCTGCCGGCCAGTACGGGGGCGCACTTAGAAGCCCCGGCGGGTGCCATGGCACCCGCGGGCACCGCGTTGGGGACCCCTGGATTAGGGCATCTTTCATCATTGGGGCAGGAACCATATTACTGTCTTGTGTTTGTACAGTGTCTAGCAGTGCACCATGGGGTCCTGGTCCATGACTAGTGATCCTAGGCACTAAAATAATAAAAATAACTAATATGGGAATAAGAGGAATGGTTCTATCCTTTGAACACAAATGAAAAATGAAGCTTTGATTTTCTGTAAGGGCCTGTCTACATTACAGCAAAAATGAAGGGATACAATTACAAAACACTGAATATTTGTAAAATGGATGTGACTTAATTTGGTTGTATAAGCAGGCTAAAGCCTTGCAATGTCCATGACTATGTGTAACTAATTGAATTGACTCAGTTGTGTTTGTGATACAAATGAGCCCTTAATCTGTTTGGTTACTCCCATTTTTGCTTTCATGTAGATGGCGCTCCCTATCCATATGACTTTAATACTAGTAACGGGAGTCTAGCTATTGGCACTTCGATAAACATCAAATTATACTTTATTTTTTATTTATACAGTGCCAGCAATGGTGCAAGGCACTCTAAAGATAAGCATGCAATATTCAGTGCTCTTTAAACTTGTAAAAAAATATATATAGAAAAACTGGTATGCTAGATAAATAAACTTTATTTTGTATAGCATCTTTCATACACATAAAATGCTTCACAGATTCAATACTCCATTCACTGAGATTTTGTCTGACTTCTAGTTATTACTTTGTCAATATTTTTAAAATTAAAAGGCTTGCTGTCAATTTAATTTGACTGATTTGATATCAGATCATTTTTGTCTTAAGGCTGCTCTACTTTACACAGGGGGTCAAGCAGGCCCCAGCTGTCCCAAAATTAGAAGAGCACAAAGAGGTCTTGCAGCCTTCTTTGCTCCACTCCCTTCTATGCTTGCCCCAAGCATAGGATCAGCATAAATGACAATCAAGTCACAGTACTTAGGAGTTCCCTTATCAGAAACCACTTACATCCAAACTGCTTGTGATTGTAGCATACCCTTTCAGCTGGTAAAGTGCAAGCTCTTCCCTGTGACAAGTGTAAAAGTGCAGAACAAAGGGATACAATTTAATTCAGTGGCATTAGCACTTTGGAGATAACCAGGGAATACAGTGTGATGATCATAAATTAGACACATTGTTTCAGTAATTTTTGCTATTTTAGAAAATAGTTGATTTTGAAAAAAAATGCTGCAGATACTTTTAGGGCTGGTATACCCCGCATTTGATCCACAAAGCAGCTTGATGTCAATGAGTTCTGTATATTCTGTTATTCATCACTGGGTTTTGCTGTGAACCAGAGACTGCATATGTGGCCCTAAAAATACCTGCAGTATTTGTTGCCAAAAATCAGCTTTTTTTTTCTTCTAGAAGAGAGCAAAACATATTAATCTGACCCCGTTTATTAGCAAGAAAACAAGCTTTCCGATTTTAGGGAGGGAAATGTTCAGGTTGGGGATTTAACTGCCAACTGTCAGCATGGAACTTTGTGTTGCATTGTTTAGGCAAGTTACAGACACCTTAAAATTTGCAGCATGAAAGCCCAAACTAAGATGCACTTACATTTTGCTTGTTGTGCAATTTTTTTCAGTAGATTATGCAGTGTTTACATATGCAAGTTTGGTTCCTATATGAACAGTCAGCATCTTAGTCTTCCTTTTTGGATGGAAACTTAGAAAGACAAATTATCTGATTAATTCAAATGGAAATAATCATAATGTTAATATAATCATTAAGAAAATAGATGAGTTCTGAAATCTGAGAGCCTGATTCTCACTTAGAGCCTGAATCTACAAACACTTAAGCACATGCAGATCTTTAATTATGACTACACATATGAGTAAAGTTATGCATGTGCTTAAGTGATGGGAGCATCATTTTGCAGTGGTGTCACTTGATTGACTTAATTGGGACTTACTACTGTGACAGGAGAATCAGGTCCGTTGTCACATAATAAATAAACTGTAAAGAAACGATACAAGTTCTCCAAAAAAAATTTTAGCCTGTTTTCAGAAACAGTTGTATAAGAAAAAAAGTTTTCTCTGAAATGTTTTTAGTTTACATTAACTGGAAGGGTTAAGCAGCTTATGTGCATTTGTGCATCCCTCTTTATACAAAAACCATTTAGGAGAGCTTGTATGCTATTCTCTGGTTGTGGACTTTATACAGCAAAGATCATTTTTAGTGCTAATGTTCTGATAGCAATTCTGTAATGTGAAGAGCATGTGCAGCATGTCGGAGGGATATGGCAAATCTGCAGTATTGGAAACCACATGCATCTGTAAAGTTGAATTAAATATTCCAAGATGGTGGAGGATTTCTTGGTCCTTTAGGTTTTGAAAATCGATTTGTAAAGCCTGGGAGCAAAAACAAAATATTACAAGAATACAGTAAATACACTACCTATACTTTATACATTGCTCATATAATTCCATAAGAGATTTGTTTCTGAAGAGATTTGGGCTTTTACACAATATGCGGTATATTACTTTAGTCATGTTAATTGAATTTAATGATATTAAACAAAGAATGATAATGTTTATATAAGATGACTCCTGCTACGCACATGCAGTTATATTAAGGCACCTCATAAGCTAGAAACCATGTCAGGGTTTGACTTCATAAAGACTGTGGTAATATTAAGTTTACTCAGCACAAGCACTGTCAGGTCAATGATCTAATTCAATATGCTGTCTTCAACAGCATCCAATACTGGGTGCCTTTGAAGCATAAATGCATGTAATTGTGCTATACTATACTGTGGAAGGATGTTTCTTTCTGATCTCAGCTTGGGATCAGCATATGAGACATCACAATTGATAGCTCTTAATTTTAGTCTAGCTAGTGAGACTGTGGATGCCATTTTCACATGAATGTTCAAATTATTTTTCAATCTTGAAAATCTATGTGGTTTTAAATAATATTCTGCACTTGTGAGTTCCACAGATTAGCTGTAGCAACTCTTATCCTACAAATAATAGAATACAGTTGTATTGTATAAGGATGTCTGCTAGCAAACAGGAAAATTAAAACAAGCATATTAAGAGCATATCAATAGGATTATGCCAAACATCCTGTTGCTTTTGCTGGTCCATGAGTTACATGACATTAGGCAACAGCCACTGTCATTAGCCTTTCAGTGTGGAAGAGTTAAATTGTATCTTCTGCTGTCTCTTTTGCCACATTTATCTTGTGCAACATTTTGCCACAGAGCAGCCAAATGTTCATTGTATGTGCATCCTGTGTGTTGATGCACAAGTAATATTTATGTTACAGGGTTTCTGGTCCGTCTAATTTTATCTTTATATAAGGCATAAGTAGTTTATGAATATATATATATATATATATATATATATTAAAAATAAACTATTCTAAAATTATTAAGTTATAAGGTCACCTCAGTTTTAAACAAATCCATAATCTTAATTTTTATGCATATGCATGTGCCATAAAATTACACAGACCACCAGGCAATTGCTGCAGGGCCTGGCAAAAAGTGTTTGCAGTCATAATTAAGGCACATATTAAAATTACTTTTGCATCATACACTTACGCACTCATTTGGTGATTTATGTCACTTTCCTTGCCCTAGCTAGTAGCTGGACTCCATATCTCTATCTAGTCTTTTAAAAGTCTTTGTAGTTAACATATCAAAAAGTCCAAATAGAAAGGAATGATGTGAAGAACATACCGAAGCTCAGGAAAGAGCTGGAGTGGTTTGACTGGGCAGATTCTGGTGGTTTTGCCAGTGAAGATGGGCTACAGATACCTGGAAACACGTAAGAAAACTTTAGCAGTGGGCGGCCACTTTCATTGCCTAAAAACATATCAGAGACAAATAAACACCTCCTCACTTCCTGCTACTCTGAAATATATGCAGATTGTTACTTTAACACGAGAGGTAATCTCCCTAACATACAAGCTTTATGGGCACGCATCAATAATGAAGATGTCATAGTACAATACACTGGGCATCTTGTTCGCTCAAAGTTAGTTTGAAATTTTAAGCAATCCAAATTTTAAAATAAATCGTTTTAATTTCAGAGACTCAGCATGGAGTTAAAGTGACTATACAGTCTTGGTGAGAAATTCCTTATTAATGTACAAAACGCGGGAGGGAGTTGCATTCCATGCAAGATCCAAGACAGAGACAAATGTGACTGTATGCCATCTTTGCTTTTCCTTACTCCCACCCAGTCATGGGGCCAATTTAGCCTATGGCATAATCTACTGCAGCCTTGAGTTTGCTCTAATTTGCATCCACTACAATAGTCTCCCAGGCTGGTATGTCATCTCATAAAGGCCAAAGTACCTCAGCATTCAGGCCACCACCCCAACATACCTCCTACCCTGGAGCTAGAATGGGGGAATGACATAGAACTGACTCTGGTTGTATGCCACTTGGGAATACCCCTGTGCTGGAGGAAATCCGCAACCAGTTTGTTAAGGCAGTTTTCCACCTGCTTTGTGCTACTAGAGTGATGGAAAGCAAATGGAACAGGGACCAGGATCTGGCCTAGGAGTGCCCATCATAATGGGATAACAGAGCATGTGAATGACAGACTGTCTTGGCAGCTGCAGTTAGAGAACTGTCCATCATAACCAGTGCTCAGTAAGAGAATATCCCTGTGGATATGGAACCTGATCTTGCAGAACCTTACTTACACAAGCTGTCATACTGTTTTTGATAGGATTACTTTTGGAAGAATAGTGTAGGATCAGACCCTACACCATTCCTCCAAATGTTGGCAAATGAACTGACAATATAAATACTAATAATACTCTTAATTCTGCTACCGGTAAATGCTTTGCTATGACATTAAATCAACACATTTGTTTCACAATATGTTTTTGGCTGTGACTAATTTAAAAGTAGATGGATCAGATGTTAGGATGCCTGCAGTTTTAGGTAACACTTTTTATATGACAGCACCTCAGAATGCATGGGAAAGGCTGGGCAAAACAAGCCAAAAGCGTGATTAGTTTCTATGCACAGGAACTGGGATGAAAGGCCAATGCAGATTTCATATACACTAGCAACCTTGATCTTGCGTGAGACCATTAGCAATAATGGCTACATTGAGACATATAGATATTTAATTAATTCAGTCTCTTAAGTGCTTTGAGATGTCCAAAAGAAAGGTATTAGAGAAGAGCAACAGATTATTCATCCAGTCAGCTGGTGAGTACCCTCAGCTCCAACCAAGAGCAATAGGAGTGAAGGAGCCTCAGCATCTTGCCGGTTCAGGTCTTAAAAGAGTAACAGATCTGTTTGCTACATTACATACACCCCACCAGGCAGACAGACTTGCTGATGATCAAGAGACTTACTTTTTTTCATGTTTCGTAAAATTTTCAAGCTCTGTAAAAAAAAAAAAAAGTTTTGAAATTAAAGATTCTGTTGTTGAGAGAACCATTTGCATAAAGCTAGAGATCAGCGCCTACTGCTAACAACCATGCAAAACAGTATGCATATATCATGTCACAAGTGCAGAATCCTGCAGTTTCCTTTGTTTGCTGGCTTTTCTCAGCCAAAATGAAAACTTCCCAGAGTGTACAGTTAGTGCTGTTCAAGCTATACTTTTCTCAATAACTCTTCCCTGCAGCAGACACATTGAAAGGCTAAATGAGGGCATTCCCTAGAGTAGCACCTGAGATGGGGATTGTTGAGGAGTGGAGTCTGTCCCTTAACTGGGTGTTGAGGCCCTAGGTGAGCAGCTTTTCCGAGAACAGTTGGCATGGTACATAGGGTGAGCAGATAGCAACTGTGAAAAAATGGGACAGGGGGTGGGGAGTAATAGGCGCCTATATAAGAAAAAGGCCCAAGAAACAGGACTGTCCCTTTAAAAATGGGACATCTGGTCACCCTAATGGTACATGGAAAACTGATCGCAGTTAGGCAACCAGTTACATAGTTTGACAGAGATTGCTTTTGTTCCTGTTGTGCAATTGTGAATCTTTTCTTCTTTCCTGCAGCTCTGTTTGCAGTGTCACTCACCACAAAATATACTGCCTAAACGCATTCTCTTGCCATAAATACAAGAAGTCTCAAACCCAGGCCTCTTTTCTCCTGTCATCTACATGAGGTAAGTGATAAGAAAATAACAGCTGCTGCAGCTAGAAAGCTGGAGCTGTCTTTCCTCCCCTTTTTCTCTCTCAGATATCTTTACCTTACTCCTCCTGAAGCATTTCACAGACTCTTTTGATGAGTCTTCAGAAGCTTTATTTCCCGACTCCCCAGGGTTGCTAGTGGAAGTCCTCACAGTAGGCTGCAGACCTAGGAAAACAACACACAGCAAAACATTTCCAGAAGATCACATGCACATCCTCCTGCTTAATTTCTAAGCATTCTCTGTGTTATATTTACAGTCTCTTTATGCAGCAATTCTTGAAATTGGTGGGGGGTTTTTTATTTTTTGCCATTTTGTTTGTAATCTACCGAGCAAGTCTCCTACTTGCAATTTTTTTTACATCCATTATATATATATACGGGCTGAGGGACATACTGGCTGCCGCTTCCAGCAGCTCCCATTGGCCTGGAGCAGCGAACCGCGGCCAGTGGGAGCCGCGATCGGCCGGACCTGCGGGTGCAGCAGGTAAACAAACCGGCCCGGCCCGCCAGGGACTTTCCCTACACAAGTGGCATCCCAAGTTTGGGAAACACTGTCCTAAGGGAAGTAGTGGAACCACCATCATGTGGGATATTTAAAGTTAGACCAAGAATATACTGTGAAGTACAACTAGCAAGGAGTGGGGGACAGGATATGATTAGAGAGGAACTCCAAGTCTCTTCCATCTCTGATTTCTGGAATCCTCTTTATTCAGTTAGCTACAGGTTTTTCAGAGAGGAGATTTTATTTGCTTGGATACCTGGTCTTGTTTCCTTCAGTTAATCCTTTAACTGAAATTATTGTGCTAAATCTCTGTTACAAGTGAAGAAGACATTATCACTTACTCTCCTCATCTGCAAGAAAGAATGACTCAGGGGTTCTTTCAGGAAGTGGAGGAGGGGAGGAAGAGCGATCCCGGTGTTTCTCTGAGTGTGACACAAGTAAGGGAAACAAAACAATACAGTTTATTAGTGTTTTAAAATCCTTTGTGACACTGTCAGACTGGTCAACTTGGGTATGACCCATAACAACTTAAGAGGCATTGAAATGTAATCAAGACAGTGTACTTATACGTGAATTTCAAAGAGATGTACTAGACCAGGGGTTCTCAAACTGGGGGTCAGGACCCCTCAGGGAGTCACGAGGCTATTACATGGGGGGATCATGAGCTGTGAGCCTCCAGCATTTATAATGGTGTTAAATATATTAAAAAGTTTTTAATTTATAAAGGGGGTCGTGGTCAGAGGCTTGCTATGTGAAAGGGGTCACCAGTACAAAAGTTTGAGAACCACAGTACTAGACCAGCAATCATTAACCTATTTATTTGTAGTAATAGAAATCAAGGATAGATGCTAAGTGTATTTGTCTGTGTTTATCTGTATCTTGTTAGAAGTTTAACAATGTAACCAGATTTGTTTGTAGATGCTAATTCCCTTTCATGTCTTAATTGCATTATATTTGGCATGCAGATGGTTCAGTAAACCTTAAGATGAAAGATGCAAGATAATGCAGGAAACTAATATGATTTACATTGTCTTCAGCTTAACTATCTATGCTATAATGAATTACTGGCTAATTGTCATATGTGAATGAATGCAACTGGTTTGCCTGTGTATGCTTAGGAAATAGATTAGCTTCAGAGCAAAAGTCTGCACTGCCTATTCTTCATTGGGGAAGGTCTTGCTGTGAGGAGGCTTATCAGCTTGCTAGAGAACTATAAAGGAAGCTTTAGGCCTGATCCTTTTCATCTCAGTTCTGCTTAAACGTTAACAGGGAAGGTTTAAGCTGTAAAACTGAGGTTTCCAGGTTTACCTGGGAATTCTCATGGAAGAGCTTCAGCAGATGCTACACCTGGAATGTCTGCCTATTGGATTATAACCTTTTAAATTGATTCCAGAAAGACTTTTACAAATAAGCAGCCTCACCTTCTCTGCTATGAAACTGACCTAAGGACTTTACACCCATTTGTATGTATATTGATCTTTTAACCTTTTGCATCTTTTTTCTTTTTATTATGAAGCCTTTAGTTTTCGTTACAAAAGGGTTGGCATCAGCATGATTATTAGGTAAGATCTGAGACTCTCATTGACCTGGGAATCAAGTCCGGTCCTTTGGAACCGGTGAACCTCACATAATGGTGAATCAGGTTTTCAGTAACCACTCACTCACTGTATTAAACTTATCTGTCTGGATGGAAGTCAAGGGCTAGAATGCTTAAAAGGACTGTATTTGGCTTCTTGGTGACCAGTGTGGTATTATAGAAGCTGTTTTGTTACTGGATTGGTGAATCTAATTCTAGAATAAACTGCCAGTTTTGATGATTGTGTGCCCTATTCCTTGCAGTCTGCCTTGAGTGTAGCATTCTCAGTGTGGCTCATCCAGTCCAGTTCCCATATCAGCTTGCTGAGCTGGATTGGGCTGACATCCCCTATGGTGACCACAGTAATGCAATCAGTATAAATCTACAATCCTTCCCAAGAGAACATGCAAGTGCTACAAGTGCCCATTCCCAAGAGAATGGCAGAGAATGTTCCCAAGGCAATAAACAGTCTGAGAAGGAAACAATGACAACCCGTTTTCTGGATAAGGCTGAAAGAAACAGTAGCACAAAAGGATACCAGCTGATTCAGGGACTGATTAGGAGATATAAAAACCAACACTAGTTTGGCTGATGCACTAGTTCGTCATGTGTACAACAAAGCTGTTCCTCTGGGCATGGAGCCTAGGGACTTTTACAAAGTGCAGTTCGGTACAGTTACAGTACACTACCGAGTTTACTACCAAACAGACAGGTATCTCAACGGACTCAGTGAAGTAACATCAAGATAAACTGTACCTGATCTGGAGCTCCGGACCTTCACACTCTGGAAACAAACCAAAAGGGAAAATCCTTGAAATTCCAAAAGCCAAATGCGAATCTTTATATTGTGAGCAAGTAGGCAATGAACAGGAAGTGATATTACAAGCACTGAAACACCACCTACTAATGTAATGGACGATGAGCTCTACACTTCTTATATTCTTGTTATTAATTGAATCTGTGTTTCAGAGGAAGGATGCTCTTGTGGTTAAGACACTGGCTGGGGAGTTCAATTCATGGTTCTTCTGCAGTCTCCCTGTGTGACCCTAGGCAAGTCACTAACTCTGTCGGTCTCTGTTCCTCATCTCTAAAATGGGGGCAACAATATTTTCCTGTCTCATATGGGAACTGAGAGAATAAATTCACTCATGTTTGGGAGGGACTCAAGCCTTGTCTACACTTCAAACTTAGGTTGACATAGCTATGGCACGCGGGTGGGAAAAATCCACATGCCCAAGCATCATAGCTATGCAGACCTAACCCCCAGTGTAGATGCAGCGAGGTCGATGGAAGAATGCTTCCATTGACATAGCTACCATTGCACGGAGAGGTGGAATTCCTACAGCGAAGGAAAAACCTCTTCTGCCGCTGTAGCACCCATGCCTCAGATGCTACTGTGAAGGGGACCCATGGGTGGTGGCTGGAGCCCCCCTTCAGGGAGGCTAGCCCCTGGCTCCGCCCATGCGCTCCTCCCCCTGCAGCCAGAGCCCCGAGACCCCCTGACCTCCTCTGTGGCTGGGGAAACCCACACACATTGGCCGGGGAAACCCAAGGCTGGTCGAAGCCCCGAGGCCTCCCCCACACCTGCCTGGAGGTGCCAGGGCCAGCCGCAGCTGCTCCGCACCTCCCCTCCCCAGACCCCAAGCTGTCCAGGGAAAAGCATCTCTTCCCGAAGACACTTTTGATATGACCCATGCAGGTACCGGGGTTGCTGAGGAGGTGGTATTTGCTACTCAACTTCCTGGGTTCATCAGGGAGTCCAGGGAGATTACTGATGAACCTGAGAAACTGAATAGCACATACCGCCTCCTCAGCCGCCCCAGAATCTTTATTATGCATGGTGCATAATAAAGCAAAAATTTTGCTGCCAAACCCCACAACCAGGGGTCTGGCGGCCACAGCAGTCTCCCCAGGCCTATTATACCCACCGCCCTTGAGGGAACCCCATAAATACCAAGACAGATGTAAAACTGGCAGCTCAGGTCACTTATGGTCATTAAATATCCTAGAGCACTTTTCACAAGGGGGTTAATTAATAGTACAGCCCTGGTCAAATGTCATCAGATTCCACCTTCGTAAATTCCCCCTGCAGTTTCAAAGAAGTTATTCTTCACTTGGCTACTATGCCACCCCAGAATTAGCTGCATTTCAGGGGTGAGTTAGTGACACCCATGTAGACATTTGAGGTGTGTGTTTATCTCAAGTTAGCTAACTCAAGATTAAGTCCTAGTGAAGACTAGGGAAATTGGTTGTTTTAACACAAGTTTACAGGTTAAAGTAAATCCTAGGCTCCTCAGTTGTCTTTACCTTGACTTGTGAACTCACGTGAAAACTACAAGCTACTTTTCCTTGCATTATCTAACTTGAGTTAAAAACACACCTTTTTTCCTAGTGAAGATGCACTCTTGTAGAGAGTTTTGGGATCCTGCAGGAAGAATGGTGCTGTATAAATGAACATTGTTATTTTTAATAGGATAGGCAGGTTCATCATTATTTATGCTTGTAATACAAAAGGGCAATCTCCAAATATTTGTTAGTAACTAAGTTTCCTCATTTCCTGATATTCCTTGTTTGCCACTTCACATCTATTGCATTACAGGATACTGCTGGGTATATTTTTAAACATCTTTCTATGTTAGCTATATTAATATAGGATCCCAGTTCATTGCTTTCATTCTGAGGGGATGGCAACATAGTGACTGAATGACTCATGTCTCCCTCTGCACTATCTTCTGTCCCCATCCCCAGTGAAACTCTGGAATGTATTTTGGCCCTTATGGTTGTAGACAGTAGTGTGAGGGCTAGTGGCACTTCTGTTTTCTCTTAAACCACATTGGCTACTACCCTAATAGTCTGTCTTGACAGCTTCAACTGAAATCACTTCTGAAGACTGAACTCTGAATCTGAAATCTGCAGTAGTTTAAGAAAAGCACATGCCATCCAGACTGGTGTATTTTTTGCAGAAGCAGGGAGCATTACACGGGGATCTGCATAGCAAAATTGCTGGAGAAGAGATAAAAACATCACTTTAGTTACCTTACTTGGCCTCAGTCTTACTGAGTCATCAAATATCTTTGGCTGAGACACCCCACTCCACTCTGAAGAGGTTCCAATGTTTATATTTCTTGGTACAGGTTGGTGGTTTGACGTTGCCAGTGGAGGTTGACCTGAAAAGAATTAAATGCAAGAGGTTTTTTTCCACTTCCTGGGTAGCCCAAGTAATTCATTGTTGGATGCTGTGATTCAAGCATTGAGCAAATCATCAGAACTGTCACCTCAGCCCTTCTTAAATTAGCACTTCAATATTTGCACTTACCAGTTTCATTGGCCACAATAAAGGACTCTGGGGTTCGCTCAGGCAGAGGGGGAGGAACATCATCGTCTGGGTCTGGAGATGCTTCTAATTAAATAGACATGGATAGTTATTTGGATTTCTTTGGACAGTCCTACCCTTACCACAATACACAGCTAAGAAGGGTCCCTACAAAGTTGTGCAGCCTTGAGAACTGACTCACCCAAGTCATTTAGTCCACATCAAACATCTAATATAAACCGATTGTTGACAATCCATCTTCCACCAAGAAAAAAATCATCCCCATTTTCCCAGGCTGTGAGGGATACCCCCATAAGCAATCCACAGAGCTTGAAACCCATCCATCTTGAGCCCTGGCTGCTGTTATCCAACCAGGCACCATAGATTGTGATCAAAATCTTCTAAAACTTTATTTTTAAAAATCTAGGTATATTCCAATATGATTTCCACTTGCTCTAGATAATTATAAAACTATGCCTGCTTCCACCTGTGTCAGCAGCAGAACACCCATTGTGGAGCAGGATCAGTTCTTATGCATGTTAACCTGCATAAACTTAAAATTAACATTGTTACTACTAGGTCGCAGTTGTGTTGGTAACTACTCCAACCTAAACTCCAGTATAACACCTTCAGTCAGGGATTAGGGGTCTGAAATCCCACAGAAAGCTGGAGAATTTCCAATGATGGAGGGACCTCAGAGCACTTTTGACATTTGGGTCCTAAAGAGCCTGAATGGAGTAAAGATGGTTTTAGTTTTAACTCCACACCTACAGCAATTCCAAAGTAACTGACAAATACTGCACTGATACCATTGACTTGGACATGAAGAGAACAATCCTGTACACAATGGATACCGTTGAGTAAACTTTATGTGGGCAGAATGTAACTTTGCAGGCTTAAGTTCAGCCAGGACACCAGGAGTGAAATCCTGGCCCTATTTATCACAGTGGGAGTTTTGCCGCTGACTACAATAGAGCCAGTATTTCCCCCAGGGTTCCAATCCAGGACTCTTTCAGAAAGAGCTATGGAATCTTTAAATAACTGAGGGAAGGGATCCTTAGTGGAGTCCCTAAAACCACTTCCTACAGTTCCCTTGGTTTTCCGTGGAGTGATCCAATCCAAGTATTAACCAAACCCAACCTTAGTTATCTTATATCTGCTGAGGTCACAGCCTGAGGTGACATGGTAGCATACAGCAGAAGTACTAGAGGGATTCTGATGGTCATGCTACCCCAGAAAATTATGGCAATTTCTATGGAAAACTGAGGCAGAATCAACAGTTTGAAGCCCAGTTCTGCCCTCCACTCTGTGGTTGTGGTTTCTACTGAAGTCAGAAGGAACATTTGAGTCCCTTGTCCAACTGAGTGGGAGTGCTGGATTCGGAAATAGAACAGGCTGCAGGAAAATCCTATGTGAATTTCAAAAAGGTATCACACACCACATGGTAAGACCCCAGAATAAATGAGCTCAGCTGGCAACACTGCCACACAGCTTACTCTGCGAGGATGCCTGCCTGTCATCCAATGGGTGAACATGCTGGGACAGAGGAGTTGACACTGGAGGACTGGCCCTGGTAGAATCCAAGGGCTGGATTGTGGAAATTGCAGCAGGGAAAGAAAGGGAAACTGTTTCATACAGCTCTGAAAAGTAGTCAATAAACATCGGGGATCCTGGATCATCTGAAGAGAGTGAAGAAAAGTAAGGGTCTTCCGCTGAGCAACAATATGGGGAAGGATGTAGGCCACTGCTCATGTGTCGCGGGGGAGCGTCTACTAGTCTGCTTGAATGGTTCAGTTCAACAGAAGAAAAGTCAGTCTGCTTCTTAACCTCAAAGCCCACAGAACTGCAGGAGTTTGGTAGCCAGGGGCCCAAAGAGGATACTGCATCCCCTCCAGCCAGTTCCTGGGTGTCTCTCTGCTGCACTAACTCAAAGGGAGTTGATTTGGTTTGTATTAATGGGGCCTTGACACTAGGGTTTCTCCGACATGCAGCTGTAGATTTCAGGTTCAGAGGAATCTCATCAGAAAAAATGCTGCTCAAGTCTAAGCTGTGATGTTTCTGGAGTGGTTCCCCAGACAGCAGAGCGGCACCTGCATTCTTGCTGCTGCTGAAGTTCAAGGCCCCAGAAGAAAGGGCTTGTCTAATGGGAGGAACACTGTGCCCATAGTTGTCATGTACTGTTGAGGGCCTACAGTTCGATGCATCAGTCAGTGATATTTCCCCTTGTGCCATATGATCAGAACTTTGATGTAGCTCCTGTTCCTCTCGCGCTGAACTGCAATAAAGTACAGTTATATGAGAGCAGAACTATTTACCACTCAGAAAACCCCATTACTATATAAGCAGAGCTCCACAGCGTTCTAACCCCCAGGTGCATACAAGAGCAAGTCCCCAACAGTCCTTGCCATGTTTTTAGGGGGAAGCGCATCCTGTGCAGTGAGCCTACACAATGCTTGTGGACCAATGAACTCATGATTGAGCCCTACTTTGAGGGCTTAAGCAGTGAATAAGCCTGTGCTGGCCCCTCTGCATGGGTGAATTTTACCAAACAGCAAAATAAATGTTTTCCTGGTCAAAACAGAAGAAGCAAATCAAAATCAATCTTCCTTCTAAAATATATTGAAAAAGAGACCTATATAAAATGGACATTTGGTACCTGAATCTTTGTAGGCAATTACCATGTCTGTGTCTTCCTAAAAAAGTATCTATTTTTGTTTCAGTGTTTTGTGTGCACTCATTATGACCACTCTCTATAGACACACACAGAATCCAGGTGCTAGAAGAACAACTAGAAATAATGTTATTTCATCCTGAAATTGGAAGTCATTGACACATGGCACTTGCACCATGTGTCTCTAGATTAGACCTGCCCTTACCAGCGTGGTAGTGTCAGAGAATAAGTTTCTTCCAGTGGGCTCAGAAGCGGCTGGAGTCTTGGATGGTTTGTTTGAATCTATTGAAAGAGAAGGTTAGCGCTCACTCGTATTGCAGCAAGACTGTCAGGAAAGCATGCAGGCAATACACAAGGTTTCATTTCACTTTGTTATTCCTGGTGATTGGCTCTGCCAACTACCTCTGCCTCCCATTGATTGTTTGGAAATGGAAATGCAGGAACAGCAGAAACAGACACTGTCTTATTGGAAGATGCAGTACATACGTTTTTACAAGAATCAAACTCTTCCCCAAAAAGTTTGCAATGTCTGTGCAGCTGGCTGTGCTTCTAGGACCCACATGCTATCTGGCTACGTGGAAATTGGTTTTGCTTTTGACACTTTAGTTGTTTGCTCATCCCCTTCTTTTGGTAAAGCGTTTTCAAAGGACAGCCAGGTCTCTGCAGCCGAGAAGGTTTGGCCAAGAGCTATAAAACCACATCCGGACTCAAGTGTTTCTCTGCTTTCTGTCTCAACCTGGCCTCACATCTGCACCTAACCATGTGACTGTCCACAGCACAAGAGAAGGAAGCTGACTCCCACAGTCTGCTCAACCAAGTCTGGCTGTGAAGTCTCAGCAAATACCAACTTATTACAGCATGTCAAACTCAGGTACATATTTTAAAGGGTTCAGTTTGAAAGTTGGACTTTATTGTGGAGTCAATCTTAAGACCTTTGCTGACAATGCCAAATGTTTTTCATTGTAAGCCCTATTTCCACCCCCTTTTAACTGAAGTTTCTCAGTCTGAGTCTGTTTAGAAATGCATTTGTTTCAGAAAGTTTGAAGACAGCCAGACAAACCATGTTTGAGGTGGAGGGCTCTGAGCAATTATAACAAAGAAAGGTCAGAATTAAGAAGTGTTAACTCTGTTTGGGATGTTACAACTCAAATATGACTTGACCACACAATTTCAGACTCAGACACTTCATCCTCCATCAGAACTAGATGTGGCTGAGGAATTTACATGTATTTTTTCACTGTACATTTTAGCCTCTCTTCTTCCAGGAGTTAGCTGTAATGGGCATTACCTAGTGCAGCTCCTATCTACTTTGTTGGGAGCAGAACCTTTTGTAGCGATGTCTTTGATTTGTGTTTTGTTCTCCTACAGTAGATTTTTCTCAGGGGAATTTGGGATCTCTTTTATATTGTTAGATTTTAGTCAAAGCTATTGGAGATGAATAAAAGAGGTGCAGGGCCCAACCCTGGATTGACAGCTGCTGCTGCCTGTATGGCATCTCTCAAGGCAACATGTTAATACTAGCTTTTGCCTCTTATCGCATCATCCACTCCCATTTGGCCAATACTGCCAGTTTGACTGCCAACCTGTCCAATGAATATTCTGAAACTTTCATCTATGATGCTCTGTACACATGGACAGCCTTCCTGAACTAATCCATAAGGACACTACGCTCTGCTCCTTCTGATCCCTCCTCATACCCAGGTCTGCTGGGATGCCTACTAGAAATCAGCCAGTCGAGGTTGACTGTTTGGGGAAAGTCAATACTTTATTCATTCATTATAATAAACAATTACACACAAAAAAGCAAGTGGAACCCTCCTCTGCATCTTGCTGCTGTAACAGGGATTGCATAATGAAGGGGAAGACTGGGTTTGTGGTCAAGGCACTTGACTGGGATTCAGGAGATTTGGGTTCAGTCTCTGCCTCTGCCATAGACTCCCTGTATGACTGTAATCTTTCTGCCCGTGTAGAGGGTTAGTTAGGATGAATGCAATAATGTGCATGTGGTGCTCTCATACTACAGTTCTGGGGACCATACATGCACCTACATAGATTGGAGCCCCTTCGCGCAACCATAATATAACCATTAAATATACAAGAGCAACTGCATTCCTTTAGTGCAAATCACTTCCCAGTTCAGCAGGGCTTGGAGGAGTTTGAATCTGAGCTAACACATCTCAGCCATAAGAGGACAGCTAACGGCAGTATGCATTGGGGGGACAAATCTTACCTCTGTGGCAGCAGAGTCTGACTGGACAGTGAGCACTTCAATCTGTCTTTTAAAGAGTTCGATCACAGCATCGTAGACCAATTCATACTGTTCCTAAATAGAAAACAGAAGAAACACAGGAGATGCAGGTATCCCCATTACTCACATCCACTTCAGACAGCAGCCAATTCATCTGCACCATGCAACATATTAGCTCTTACAGTGCTGGAAATTCCAGTCCTTGGGTTAGGCAAATTCTCAGAAGGGGTTATAGCTGCTGTTTTCAAATGGTCAAGGTTTGAGTATGTGTTAATGTCAACTGAACAAACGTTGTGTGCTGAGCTTCCTCTTCAATACATCCCAGTCAAAGCCAGCTTCGCTTACTGAACAGTAACTTGTTTCAGCATAGACAATCACAAGTACTAAGCTACATCATCATGCACTCATTTGATTTCTCCTGATAAGCTTCTTTTGGGAAAGGGTCTTACAGAATACAAAGCAACATGCTTGCTGCACGCAGAGGCTTGCCCCACAGTGTAACAATACAAGTTTGGTTCTTGCAAACCCTGAAGAGAAGTTATGGGTCTGGTTTTATAGCAAGCATTTAGTAGCTATGACCTGCTTGGAGCTTTCTGAACATACCTTGGTTTGCACTATTGATGGCCTTTGTGTGCGCATTTCCTGGACCAGACTAAAAATACTGAAGTTCTCTGGAACAATCTTATAAAAGAGAGATCATGAGAAATTAGAAATGGGCCTGAACCAAAACCACTCCCAAATGGTGATGCAGTTCAGACCTGGATCCAAACTTCAGGCCCATTGTTACAAGAAATCTTTACTGCTTGTGATTTTTGCTTTGTTGATTAATCCTTTCCCTCCTCACATATCCCCTCCCATCTTCTACTCATTAGGAGGCATCCCTTTCTCTGACAACAGCATGAGAGACAAATACAAGTTCCATGGAGTGCAAAGAGAAGCTGAATTTATGGCAACTGCTCTGAACTGTGATCTAGATGGATTTTAGTGTGAACATGATGCAGAAAATAGCCACTCCTAGAATCCTGTCTTGAGACAGACATTCATCCAGGAATTACTTCACAAGTAAAAAAATAATCTAGTTTTAGAAACCTGAATTTCTTACACTAAAGGACAGAAGATCAGGACTGCAGCCAGGCACAGGATTGCAGGCAAAAAGCCAGTTTAACGACTGATGTCAGAGCAGTGGTAAAGCACTGTGACCTACAGTTCAGATAGGAGGGTAGCAACAGGAAAGAGGCTTTTATTGGCTCTTTATGTCTTAGGTTGTTTTAAGGCCTCAGAAGTGGTTCATATCAGCATGTGGAGAGAACACAAGTCTGGGAGGAACAGTAAACACTATGGAGGAGGAAGAGACAGGATGAAATTAGGACAACATGAAACAGGGCATGGAGTTTATTAAACTCATCTGACACTGCCTTCAAAGAGTTGGGCCAGCATAGGGGCTGGAACTAGGGGTGCTGCCACACCCCCTGGCTTGAAGTAGTAATAGCAACCCAAATACATGGTTTCTGCATTCAGCACCCCCACAATAAAAATTGTTCCGGCACCACTGTGGGCCAGAGGGAGTTTATGAGAGAATTAGCATGTGAAATATACTCAAAGGCAGCAAGAGAATTTGCTATCATTGGGAATATGGTTCAAAAAAGACTGAGCCAGACACGGGCACTTTGAGGAGCAAAAGAGCCCAGGGTAAAAAGCAAGCACTGGGTAGGCATACAGGAAAACAAAAAGACTGATCCCAGGCACTGCTGAGCTACTCACCCCGTCCTTCAGCAGCTTCCAGGTATAGTCAATGGCACAAATAACTCCTGTTCTCCCACAACCAGCACTGAAATGAAAATCGGAGCCCTGAGATTTGAGGAGGGGTTTTGCCTTCACTTATTACTTGACATTAATCTCTCTTCCTTCTGTGTTTTTATTCATGGATCAATATTGTTATTCTGCAACTGATGCAAATCCAAGTCTACCTTGCCTAAGCCCATGCACTGTATTTTCTGACCAAAGGCAGCCCAATCATATCATATCATATATCCTATCAGTTCCATCCCTGAGCCGGCCTCCAATGATGCCTTAAGGAGGAAGCTGGCTACTGACACCAGTGCATTGCCCTGTTCATTTCAGCCATGTTGCTCTAGAAGCAGCACCTCTAGTGCCTTACCAACTCCCACAGCACGCTGCAGAGCAATCACTTCCACACAGGATTGCAATCTCTGCAAACAGATATGGCGGCTATTCTGTTCTTGGCAGTAGGAACATAGAGATTTGCCAGATCGTGAGAGAGCATTGGTCCATCAAAACCAGGACCCTCCCTGCATCCACCACACAACGCTGATTGATGAGCCGCAGGAGGATGAAAAATCCCACATTGCACTTGAACAAATTCCTTCCATAAATCCTATGTGATCAGCTGATGCATGGGGATTGATTATATTTTTCTTGGTATGTAACTACAAATATCATTGTACATACACAGTAGCCAGCTTTTTTTCTACATCCAGCCATCCAATTTGCTCAGATACAGCTTCTGGCTTTAGAACTTGCTCTCCTCAGACAGGGGATTTGACCTAAGACTTTAAAAAGTGACAGGCTTTTTAACACCCACCTAAACAGAAAGAAAGAAGGTGTTGCATTCACTTGAGGCTAAATAACAGCATTTCCCTTGCCAGTAAAACCTCCTTACCTGCAGTGAATACAGATGGGGATGTTGTCATCTGGCTGGTAGCAGCGCATCTCCCAGATAAGCTCAAGGATGGGGTTGATGGAGGAGGGTACGTCATGGTCTGGCCAGTTTTTATAATGGAACTGATAAATAGTGCGAATTACCTGTAAACGAGAAGAAAGAGGAGGAGCTAAGACCAGGAATTCTGCCTGTTTTATGTGAGGAGAAAGCCCCACGTCTCAGATGTGCATGTCGGTACAGAGCCTACAAACAGGTGGCCATTCCAAGATCAAAAAGGCATCAAAAAAGTCAGTATGTGCTACACCCTCCACCAGTACCCATTTACACTATATTTCTGGAATATAACCTGTCTGTCACTCTGTAAATGTTCTCTTAGGCCTTTTCATTTTACATGGCACTCTCTATATTGCCTGCTAATAGTTTCTAAAGAGGAAACAGTGAGGCTAAGGCCTGGTCTATGCTAGGAAATTAGGTTGGTATAACTATTTCACTCAGGGATGTAAAAAACCCATATCCCTGAGTGATGCAGTTAAACTGACCAAACCCCAGCATAGACAGCGCTAGATCAATGGTAGAATTCTCCCTTTGACCCAGCTCCTGGTTATCAGGGAAGTGGAATACCTATGCTGATGGAAGAAACCCTCCGCGTAGGTACAGTAGAACCTCAGAGTTACGAACACCTTGGGAATGGAAGTTGTTCGTAACTCTGAAACGTTCGTAACTCTGAATAAAACCTTATGGTTGTTCTTTCAAAAGTTTACAACTGAACATTGACTTAATGCAGCTTTGAAACTTTACTATACAGAAGAAAAATGCTGCTTTCCCTTTTTTTTTTTAAAGTAATTTATGTTTAACACTGTACTGTATTTGCTTTTTTTTGTTACTGCTGCTGCCTGAGTGCACTTCCTGTTCCAAATGATGTGTGTGGTTGACTGGTCAGTTCGTAACTCTGGTATCCGTAACTCTGAGGTTCTACTGTAGTGTTTTCACTGAAATGGTACAGCTGCGCCGCTGCAGCATTTTAAAGTGTAGACAAGCCCTATGTTTTTCTTATCCAGAGAATAACACCTTGGCTCTCAGCTAAAACAGCTGCGGAAATTAGGGTTTGACAACTTGGCTATTTTTACTTTCTTTAGTATATAATCACTATGGAATCAAAAAATAACACGTTGTGGAATATTGGCAGCTCCTTCAAAGCTTACTGTAGAAACCCTGTATCTCCTGCAGTCAACAATGGTACCATTTAATTAGAATAAGTGCAGTAAAGCCAGTTGGATGCTCTTCCTGCCTACCATTTCCCTACTTACTTTGTTCAATGTCACCTTTAGAGTCCGAATCACATATTCAGTTTTCTTTTCCTCCAATTCCTGCAGAAGCAATACATTAGTCACTTTCTGCAGATACATGGCACTGGTTTCCATAAAGGGTGCCACAGATTGTGGAACACTTGTTAGGCAGGATGGAAAAGGCTGATGTACTTACACAAGTGATGGTGAAAGGACTACACTGGAGTGGTGAATCGCCCACCTCAACCCAGTACCGCTCACACTTTTTCTATTGTAAAAAGCAGGAAGAGTCTGTGGTTATTTGTCTCTACACCTGCCTGCCATGTCTCCTGCCTTGTCTTCCCCAATGGACAGTTATTTGTTTCGAAATGCCTGGCTTTGTTGCTGAGCTGACTCTTGTCTCCCTCTTCCTTGGGGCTCCCAATACACGGTTTCTCCAGAGAGACAGCACCATTTTCTGATGATCCAAGCACCCGCTTGGCTGCTGGAGTGAGCCAACAGCATCACAGTGTGTGGTCTACTGAGACCTTTCTCTCTTGCAGAGGCTAATCTCACTCTCAGAACCAGTTTGGCGATGATTGAACAAAATTGTGTGCATTTGGGAGTCTCCAGATATGAACTATTCACTGATTTCTAAATATGAATTAATTCTTTGTGAAACCCAATGGAAATGCACATTCTTTCTCCCCCTGGTGACACCAAGACACCGGCTCCATGCTCCGACACATTACTCACCTTCCCCATTTCAAACTCCATGCAAGCCATAACCACAATCTGTAAAAATAAAGTACATAAAACCTGAATGTCTCTTAATCAGGAGAGAAAGGCAGATTTTAGATAGGATAGTTAAGTAGCATTCAGGGATATTTATCAGTTGTGAGAAAAATTATTTTGGGCCACATATGGCCCTCTTACTCTGATGCTTCTCAGCTAGGCAAAATTTGGGCACCGTTCACAGCATGGGTGCCAGAGACCTTTCAGCTCCAAAGCTCTCCCATGGAAGACTGTCATGAGACAATACTCATCCATCATGCTGTTTTTGATAAAGACCCTCATGAAAAATGCAGTGAGCATGGTGTACAACTCGTGATCCTGGCACACTAACAGCACATACTCATTATCCAGCCAGTAACACATGGACTTTATTGCAAAGCTGTAAAAATACGTAACAGAAAGCACTGATCTGCATCTTACCAGGACTTCATATTCCCAAATCATCCTCCAGAAGTCAAGAACAGTGGTGGTGAGAGGACCCTGGGTAGCTATATACGCCCTCGGCCCATATACTCCCTAAAATGAAATTCAGATTGCATATGAATATAATATTTGTATGGGCACTAAGCACCCGAAGAGACAGAACTAGCACTAATTTAGAACTGTACTGCATTTACATGAAAAGACTAAAGTGCTTTAACAACTAGGACAACTGTAGTTCCTTCAGCTTTTTGTCTGGCTCTCTGAAAAGCTGTGTGTTTTCGCCCCTGCAGTATCGCTAGTTGGACTGACAGTCCAGTCAACAGCTGACTAGCAGAATCTACCCTTCTCTACTGATAGTGAGAGATGGGTTTGGAACAACCCCCGCCCCTCACTTCCAAACAGCATCAATTTTTTTCTATTTTAGGGGGGAGCTTGCTGACAAATGTTCAAAATACTGATCTGGTCTATGTTTTGCAGTAGGGCATATCCCTACTTGTTAATATCCTGGTCTGGCATCCTTTATAATGGTCTTTGCCCTGTACAACGTGGTTAGGCAACATTCCTTGGCACAGATGGAGGGAAACGTCTCTGCTTCAACCACAGCAAGGGGAGAGGCATTTACAAACCGAACGAAGCTGTAGGGGTGGAGGAATGAGGTACTGACTTGCCCCCATCTCTTGCTGGCCACAGATGCCTCGAGTTCTACTGATGTAACTGGGTCTCAGCACTGATGTGGGCGCAGAGCTTCCTGTCTGAGCAGTGGCGTCAGAGGCCTTTGCTAGTGGCAGGCAGTGTAGAGTCATTCCACTCGCCATTGAACACATACACACAAAGGAATATAAAGCTGATGGGGACACAGGGCTCTGAGCTTGGAGCTGTAGTCTGAAAACTGCTCCCCTCCCCAAGATCATGCACTTCTCATATACCAAAGCCTGGCTTCCTGGACATTTTAAGGGGTGTTGGCATGGAGGGTTCTCAAAGGTCTCCTTAATTTCCCCCCGATTTCATTATCACCCCCACCATGGTGAGCCACCCCATAGCCAATGAGGACGGGATGGAGCTCCCTCCAGACTCTGGTACAACTCTAGATATATGTACTTATTCTATATCAGCCTGCCACTGTCAGCTCATTCCATGCAGCACTGCCATGGGAGCTGCCTTTTCACAGCTCAGTGTGATGCACTTGAAAGTATGTACTACAAACCAGGCAATACCTTGATGAAGTTGGCATTTATGTAATGAGAATCTTTATCTGATGTGATGAGGGAGAGCTCCACTCTGCTGTGATCAACTGCAGGGGAGAGAGAAAGGAGTAATTCTTGTTTTTTATTGTATCACATTAGAGCCTAGAGGGTCCAAATTTTGTAGATTTTAAGGCCAAAAGGGACCATTACGATCATCTAGTCTGACCTTCTGCCCAGCATAGGTAATAGAATTTCTTATTGTGATTCCTGCATCAAGCCCATATCTTATAATTGAGCTAGAGCACATTTAAATCAAGGCCCATTGTAGTAGATGTTGTACAAGTACGTAGTATAACAGTCTCTGCCCTGAAGAACTTACATGGAATTAATGTGCCCCAAAGACATCTCTGTCTAAGCCTTGCTTTATGTGGTTTCTCTGAAGTTGGACAGCATGCACATTATACAGCAGACTTTCATGTAACAACTTACCTGATAAATAAGAAAAAATCTTTTCCCCTACTGAATAACCTACAAATCCCCACAACTATGTATAGACATTAAAATATTAAAAAGTGACATCTCAAATATTAATCATGGCATTCAAAGCATATTAAGAGTTGGTCTGTGGAGGGTCACATGGAGATATGCACAGGTATGTCTATCTGATGAGCATAGGAGAGCATATGCCTATGTATGCATGTCCTGATGTGTGCTGTAGCCTGCTTTGGTGTATGCATGCTAGGCTTACATACTGATGTCTATATCCACGTATATACTGGGCAGGGGAGGAGGGAGAAGCTAGTCTGACAATAACTGGTAAGAAAGAAAGGCTAACTTGCAAATTTGGTATTTTCAACCTACAGGGTAAGATGTCCTTGTATCGATTTTTCTTGATGTTCTCTGGTTGCTCAGACGCTGCAGTTGGGTATATTCTGTCTGATCTGTATTTTGTTGATTGCCTTTTCAGCTTCTGTGGTAAACAATGGAACAGATTAAAGCGAATGTGTTACAGACAGCACGGTGTTAGAGAGCATGTCTGATGGTCCCTAGGGGGCCAGACTCACCACCACAAAGCAAGGTCTGCACTATTCATTCTTTCCTGATTGGCCTCTCTCGAGGCACTCAGCACGAACAGAGCAACAGTAGCCACTCGAGAACCATTTTGCAGCCAGGAGTTCTGAAGACCAGAAAGTCTGCATGCTGAGCTGGGGACACTAGAGGCTCTGACACAGGCTTTTGAAGTGCCTCTTTAGAAAGTTATACATTTATATGGAACACAAAACTTCTGCCGTACAAACTTATCATTTTCAGCATAGATGCCAAGCAGACAACAGGCAATAGTGACATTAAGCTATCTCCAACAAATGATAAGCAATTCACTTTTCTCACACTGTAGCTAAGAACTGAAGCATCTTTGTCAAATAATCTCTGGTTTGTGGTACTGCCTGAATTAGACTGAGCTGTGCAACAAGAGGAACCGAAGAAAAGCAATTGCAGGTACTGCTGAACGGGATTCTAAAAAAGACAACACATGGCTCCAAGAGACCTCTAATCAGTCTCTCTTTGGTAGCGTGAGGCTGCTGCATTGTGGATTGTTTTCCCTGCTGCCAGGGAGGTTATATGGAGTCTTGCTGGTGCAATCTAAAAGGATTTGTGATTTCACTGGGCTGATCCATTAGAAACACACCCTTTGCTTCACTACACACTGGCCTTTAAAAGTACTAAACATTTTATTTATTACTGCCCCCATTTTATTATTACTGCCCCCATTTATTAGTGGGTAACATCTAGCCCACTGTGCTCGGTGGTATGACAGGCAAGGAATTAATGCTGCTGAATCTCAAACCAGACAATGAGGGATGGTCCCAACACCTCTGTGCTTTGAAATCCTGGAGTCTAGTGCGCACCTTCCTATTGCTCCTGGAGTTGTGTTATTGTGCAGATCTTTTGTTGCTGTGGAATGATGCTGGGAAATGATGGCCTGCTCCATGGCCTTAGTTCTGGCATTTCTGCCCCAGGCAGACCCTAGAGTCTAGTCTCTGGGGAGACTAGTGCAGGGATGCCTGCCAGAGGATTTGAGTGAGGAGCCTCCATCCTGTCTGACAGAGCTGATGCTTTCTCATGCCCTTATAGCCCATTTCGTGGCAGCTCTGTGGTTACTTCTGGGATTTGGAGATGAAGAAAAGCAAAGAAAAAGCTTTGGGCTAAAAGTACGAGGTCACTCAGGCTCATGTTCCCCTTTAGAAGGAACATGTCAGAAAGGTCCCGCTCCAGTTACTGGGGCACGCTGGATGGGCCAGGGGGAAGCTGCACAGCTTTTCTTTGCATCTAATATGCATTGAAATTACCAGCTGAGGCTGCTTTCCGACAGGATGTGGAAAGGGTGGCTAAACCAATCAGGCATTAGAGGAAAAACAGAACACATTGGTCTCATGACACTTGGACAAAAATAGCTCTGTGGTCTGGCGGGGGAGCACTGAGAAGCTGGCATCCCCAGGAGAAAGATGCACTTGGAAGGTAGTTTTCTCCTAAAAACTAACAGGTTCAACTCGTAGGTTTATAGGAGCAGAACTCCGCATTTGCCCTCCAGTTGAGGGATCACCCAGCAGTTTGCCAGAAACTCATGAGAGGCAACTAATTTGCATCAATCAACTGGATAGCAACACACTTCCTGTTTAATAAAGGAGGTGCAGCCATGAGGACTACAGTCCCAGCAGGCAAGGCTTCCACGATCCCACTTTCTCTCCTGTGTGTTGTGCAAGGGAGAAGGTCAAGGTCAGAGCTAGTATCAGCTTACAATTCTGTTACCTTTTCAAAGTAAATGTAGTCCTTGCACACACACACCACTGCGAGTTTGGAGGAATTTAGCACACATTTAGGGATTGCATTAATAAAAGGAAACACTGCGTTTGGAACATTGTGAAAGGTATAGAACAGTGGCTCTCAAACTTTTTTACTGGTGACCCCTTTCACATAGCAAGTCTCTGAGTGTGACCCCCCCTTATAAATTAAAAACACTTTTTATATATTTAACACCATTATAAATGCTGGAGGCAAAGGGAGTTTGGGGTGGAGGTTGACAGCTCGCGACCGCCCATGTAATAACCTCACGACCCCCTGAGGGGTCCCGACCCCCAGTTTGAGAACCCCTGGTATAGAATAAGAGACTAGAGAAAGTGTTATTTACCCTTTCATACAATACAAAACCAGGAATCACACAATTAAATTTTAAAAAAGGGAAGTACTTTTCCACACAACGTACAACTAACCTGTGAAACTCATTGCCATGGGAAGTTGTGGTGGCCAAAAGTAGAATTGGGTAAAAAAAATAACTAGATAAGTTCATGGAGGATAAGTCCATCAGTGTGTATTAGCCAAGATGGTCGGACACAACCCCATGCTTGGGGAGACCCTAAACCTCTGACTGCTAGAAGCCAGGAATGGAAGACAGGGGTGGATGACTCCATACCTGCCCTATTCTGTACACTCCCTCTGACGCTCTGGTAAGGGCCACTGTTGGAACCAGGACACTGGCAAGATGGACCATGGTCTGACCCAGTATGACAGCTCTACTATAAGCCCCGTTTATCTTTTAATCAATGTGGACAGAATTAGTCATGGTACAAATAATTACTCAGATCTATATTTCAAACAGCTACTATTTCATTATTAACTCTTTCCCCATCCCCCAAATAAAAAAAGTTGTCTATGTGCCTGTTAGCAGCAGGAGGAGTCCCAGCCAGACATCCCAGGAGGCTGAAGTTCCCCGCTTACATGCAGGGGTCAGGGTAGATGCTGTGCAGACACCATGCTGTGCAAACATGGCACCAGCCTGCCTTAGGCCTGACGTGGAGGAACAACCAGCCTCTGTGGCACTTCTGCTGAGACTGCCACGGAAGAGGCCAGTCATGGTGGTCATTTCAGTGACACAGACGCATGCCCACTAGGAAGCAGACTTAAACCCCAACTCATTTCATGGCACTGAGCAGCCATCAGATGGTAAGAGCTTTCCATCACTACTAAACTGAGTTGGATTTGAAATCAGACTTGAAGGTGAAAGCTTCTGTATCTCATGACCAATCTCCTGAGCCAACAACACTCACTCTCAATTGTTTTCCTCAAGCTGTGAAGCCCACTGGTTGCACAGGACTCTCCCATCCACCCCATCCCAATGATTTGGGAGCCTAACAGTTGAACACAGTAGAGTCCAAAGGAAGAAGAAAACACTCTGCCCAAGAAGTTTTCATTCACCGTGCTTCAGTCAACCACACACCTAAAAGACCTGGGTTTCAAAGAGCTCTCCAGTCATAAAAGGGGGAAGGATTCCTTCTTAGCAGGTCCACCTGCTTGTGGAGATGTACAGGCCCTGTGGTGCCATAAGGAATTGCCATTGTGCTTTGACTTATGGCTGAGTGAAGCTAGCACAGAGCTACAGGGAGGCAATGAGCTGGTGTGGAGGAGACTGGTTTCAAGGACCACACTACAGACTTACTTGTTATGGTCCTGTTTACCTTTGGCCTGTTGTTCTGGACTCCCTGGAGAGGAGTTGTGAGTGACTTTGTATTTTTTTCATACACACTTGTGGCTTTTATTTTGGTTGGATTTTGGGTGTCTTGTGACAAAGAAATCTGCAATGTGGGGTTTTGGAACGAGGACTATGGAAGGAGTTATAATTAATTTTATTTACAGTTCTTTTTCAGACTGATCTTTAGGGACCAAATCCCACTCCTAACAGTTTAGTTCAGGGCAGCATTCAGAATGACAGTGTTTGCCCCCTTCACTCTTTCCTCAGGGAGCTCCACAGCAACTAGCCACATACACTTACAGCAGCCAGCAAATACCACTTCCCACAAAACTCACCTTTCCCTACAGTCCCTTATAAATTCATCCATATAACCTTAGTGTAAGTAAAACACCAGACCCCTGGATCTACACACAGTAGAGGGGCCCCCCTAGCCCCGTCACCTTATTATGTATTGCTCCACCACAAACACCCATCTGGCTTTGTCAGATTCAGTCTGTGGGTGCCCAAGTTGACACATTTCATAGGGGCTTGATTTCCAGAAAGCGCGGAGCACTTGTCCTCTGACGATCAGTACTCTGTGAAGGCATCTTAAATTGTGCACCCAACATTACCGGCCACTTCTGAGAATCTTGGCCTGTGTCTTTACTCACTATGAGCCTGATCCAAAGCCTCTTGAAGGTAACAGAACAATGGCCCTCAACTCGAAGTGCAGCACCATGCTGCTATATGTTAAATTTTAAATGATAACATTACTACCAAGAGGGGTCTCAGTAACGTAGATACCCTGTAGCCTATTCCCTAAGCCATCCAGCATCTCTCGCAAAACAGATTAAAAGGACATGCTGTATGGTGGCTGCAGACAGGCCCTGACAAGAGAATAATTCTGTTCATGGAAATTCAGAAGTTTTTAGACTAAATTAACTTTAGAGTCAACATTAACTTTAAAACATCTGATGAGTTAAGGAAACAGCTGTCACTTGTCATGTTCTACAGTCAGAGGGAGACAGGAGCATTGTCATTTATTTGGGTAGAATGAGTCAGTAACAGAGCTGCAGAAGTCACAGGACTCTTATGTATCAGCCCCACATTAACAGGAACATAGGGGGAAGCCCAAGTGCAGGGGAACAGCAGGATGTTCTCCCTGGATTTCAGATCTGTAACTCCCTCAAACCTGCTGCAGATTGCACCCAAGGCTCGACTTTGTGGGTTTCACCCCCTTTAGTGCTGCCCACCACTTCCAGATAATGTTTTTAATGAAGGGGACTAGAGCCACTTGGCATTGAGGGTCCAATACTTTAAACCACAACTCCAAGCCAGGTTAGTTTCTAATCTGCATCTTCTGTCACCACAGAGCTTGACATATGGGCAACTTGGCAGACTGATACCTGTGACATTGCAAATGCAAATAGCAAGGGTTAAGCTTATAAATGTGAGGCTGCCCAAATGGAACATCTGGGCACAAATCAAGTACTGCCATTGACACCAGCAATTACACAATTTGCATGTGCAAGCACCTGTTTGTACGCAGTGGGTGTTTGCAGGGATAATGGACCCAGGCTTATTTTTGTGGCTCATGCATGGCAAGCAGATTTGAAAGTTTGGCCTTTACCAGTTTTCTTCTAAGGATCTTAATACACAGAACAGCTGTCTGAACCATCCTGGGCTTTGGGAAAGGCCTTTCCCAGCACCAGAGAAAACACTTTTCTACTTACTATTTTTGGCAGATTGCAGGCAGTGCACAAGCTACACACCCACTTTCCCCAGAGACCAGCACATTCATCCTGGCCTGACGCCCCCGACACTTCAGCCTCCCTCACACAATAAAGCACGAGCTTTAGAGACTGGGTGGAGAAAGTCAGCCACCGGTGACATTGCTTTTTTCCATGGAACAATTGGACTGTTACTGCAAGGTACTCAGCACTCAGATTAATCACTGCTCTCTGACAGAGGTACCTGAGAACCGGAGATCATCAGTGAGCAACTGACATTTTCCTAAGTCTTTGAAGTGACTCCTCTCTAGGAAGACATAGTGGGGGCTGGCTCATGTGGGGGCTACCTGAGCAGACTGGATTCTCACCAGCAGCCTTGGCCATGCACAACCCCCTTCCCTTCCCCTGGGAGGATGGAAGGGGACTCAGGTCACTAGTTATACAAGTGCCTCTGGGATGCTGAAGGCTTGTGGCTGCAACAGCATCACCATCCTTCTGAGGTTTCTAAGTCTTGCTGAGCAATAACAGTGGGGACTCTTTGTCCTAAAGCACCAGGGACTAACCCAAACAGTGGGGTTAGTATGGAGCCTACTGTGGAGGCCAATCTCCAGCTGGTATGTCCAAAAGCAACTCACTAGGTAAATCCCCAAATACAATTCCTGCAAATTCCTAGGACTGGGTCATTGTTAAACACGAGATTCTGGATTTATGTGACAATCCCTCCACACCGATGAGCCCACACCCAGCTGATGAAGATTGGGGCCTTGAAAATAGGTGCATTAAACAGAACTATTAAATTATGATTTGTGTGGAGAAAGTAAATAAGGAAGTGTTATTTACTTCTTCTCATAACACAAGAACTAGGGGTCACCAAATGAAATGAATAGGCAGCACGTTTAAAACAAACAAAAGGAAGTATTTCTTCACACAATGCACAATCAACCCTGTGGAACTCTTTGCCAGAGGATGTTGTGAAGGCCAAGACTATAACAGGGTTCAAAGAAGAGCTAGATATATTCATGGAGGATAGGTCTATCAATGGCTATTAGCCAGGATGGGCTGGGATACAAAACCATGCTCTGAAGTGTCCCTAGCCTCTGTTTGCCAAAAGCTGGGAGTGGACAACGCGATGGATCACTTGATGATTACCTGTTCTGTTAATTCCTTCTGAAGCACCTGGCTTTGGCCACTGCAAGAAGACAGGATCCTCGGCTACATGGACCATTGATCTGACCCAATATGGCCGTTCTTATGTAACTCTGCAAGGAAGCCTTGAGCCCAGCCCCCTGGCCAAATGTATCCCAGAGGGTCCTAAAATGTAGATTAGGACAAAGATGGTCTATAGCAGCTTTTGCTGCTGGTGACCTGAAGCAACAGGAAACTTCTATTCAAGGGGGGAGAGAGAAATGCCACTAATATTACTTGCCATGTTATTCTAGCCATGTTGGTTCCAGGACACAAGAGACAAGGTGAGTGAGGCAATACCTTTTATTGAACCAACTTCTGTTGGTGAAAGAGACAAGCTTTTGAGCTCTACGGAGCTGAAGGAGAGTTCTGTGAAGCTCAGAAGCTTGTTTTGGTTATCAACAGAAGTTGGTCCAATAAAAAATTAACAAATATTACAGCATATGCATTTATGTTGGATAAAATGCACGTTTCCATGCAAACTGGTATAGCCTGAAACTTCAGAAGTTGCCAGTATGGACCTTAGTGATGCAGAGACTGGACATCCTTCTTTAACGCCTCCAGTTTATGACTTTTTGCCTCTTTCCTGCTCTAACCATGGTCCCAAATGCTAATATGAAATAGTGATTGGACCAGTCCCTGCAGGAATTTGTCAGGGAATTTCTCTGCAATCAAATCCCTAGTCTGGATTTTCTTTCACATCGCAAGATGGGTTACTGGAGTGAACCATATCGAGTGGTCATCTGAGGGACCTAGTGGGTATTTCAGTTCTGACCCACTTCAGTTCACACTTTTCTCTGAGATAGATGGCTGAAGGGAAAAGGCTTTTTCAAATATTTAGAGACATGGCCCCCACTGGTGGTATTAGGAGTGAAGCAGCTAATCCCCCTGCAGCAAAAATGAAACTACATTCCTACAAGTGCATTTGCAAATTAGGAAACAGGAACCATCGAATCAGGTAATTGTTAAACACAGCTTCACTTAGAATGGAAACTATTAAACTGCTCTTTTCTCTTTAACACTGTTCCTAGATCCATTTTTGTTCTAGAATTAGTAGAAAAACAAAGTGTTACATGTAATCATTACGTCCCAGTTCAGAATTTGCTTCAACAATTGAGAGCTTCCCCATAAAATTAGGTTAGACTCAGAAATGTGCCTGTAGGTGACTTACCAAAAACTCGTTTGCAAACTCCTCTCTGTTAAGTTTCCTGCTTTGGGCCCTGTCCAGGTTTTGCAGTAGAATCTCTCTTTGGTCCATGTTGCGTGACAGAGAGAGACTGGTCCGGCCAAGCAGAGGATGGACATGTCAAGTGCATGTCATAACGGAAAGCACCAGCATGGAGAGCGCCTGCTGAAGGCTGTGGTTTACTGACTTCATTGCAAGTCTTAAAGGAAATTAGTGCGTAACAGCCCGTGTGGTCAAAAACAAAAAAACAAGATTCTTAACTCAGGGCCCTAGTGCCTCCTTTTCAGAGTGTGAACTACTGCGCTCATTTCTTTATGGAAAGAGGAAGCTGGGTGGTCTCATTAAGATTATCTATGCAGTTTTCTTCAATATCAGACTTCATCATATCCCTTTCTGAAGTCAACTCCACTCTGATCAAAGAGCCATATAACGCAGATGGAAAAAAGGGAAATTGCATCAGCTGTGCAAACCAGGGCAGTATTGGCCACATTCACCAGCATTATCTGTAGTTCTGTCTCACCGGAAATGTCCCTATGCTGATAAACAGCCATCTGAGCGGAAGACTTGACAACCCTCTCTCCAGGAGTGTAGGTTCTGAAACACAATAGTCACACCTCAGGTCCAGACTCCTCCAGCAAATCCTGAAATGCTCAGAGGTCACTGCATTTTCAAATGACCTGGGATGAACTCTGGAAAGCCACATCAGAATCAAGGATTTACATTAGAATGTAAAAGTTACACAACTGTCCACAGAGGCCACTCACTATGAGACTGCGCAGGTCCTGGAATGTAGGCTGTTTAAGTGACAGTCCTCAGAGCTTCCATCCCAGAAAGTGGATCTTTAGTCCACCATTCCATTAGGGCTAGTCTGGCCGAAAACAGAAGCCTAACATCTCTCCTCCTGTATTTGTAGCAAACTACTTATGGTTGGAAAGCCAGTAACTCCCGTTCCTCTTTGCAGTAGGAGAATGCTGCCCCCAGCAGTTTCTTGGCTGGGGCGTGTAAATTTTGGGCCCAATAAATGCTGTATCGCACATGTGCAACTGATCTGATTAGAACATGGAGAAGCAGAGCCAGTTTCTTCAAAGCTGGCTTCTTGGGCTGATCGGGGCTCTTTGGCACAAGAAAACATTTGGCAGCATGATACCTTTGATTAGAGAGAGAGGCCCAAACCACACACTCAGTCTGGATTTCCAACATCCCATGTTGAGCAATGCTCAAGAGCTCCTCAGGCCCCCCAGCTCTAATTCAAATGCCAGAGCAAACAAACCAACCAACTAAATATTTATATGGCTCTCATCACTGTGTATCAGAACTCTGCTGCACCCTTTACAGAGCTGCTGGAGTTCAGAGTAGCTATATGCAGTTACTCATGTTTCCAAAGAACAAATCTGAGGCATTTTAATAGGATAATGTTTTACCCTTCTCTAGCAGCTTTCAGTTGAGGCTCTCAAAGCACTTTACAGACATGAATTAAGCCTCCCAACTCCCTCCCAGAGTAGGTTTAATGTGAAGGATCCTGAATTTCTAAGGGGTTCATCACAGATTATTTAGTATGTGTCATCTTTGCTGAATTCTGTTGGTAATTAAAGAGCTTTGCAGCAGTTGGTTTAGTGAGGTATTTGTGGATGAGAGCACTGTAAGTGACTACATAGAGGTTGATAACTCAGCCATAAGTAAATGCTCAGGATTCAATCTTGGACACAGAGTATTAGTCCAGGACTGTTTATTCCAATGAAGTGTTTTAATATTGCTTCAGATAAATCTGTATAAGCAAATCTCCAAACCTTTGAAAAAAATTGTTTAAACACGATGAAAGAAGTCTGTGGGTCGAGCGAATGACTCCCCAGATACCTGAGTAAAACCCAGCAGTGATTTGTCATTGGCATGTCTTGGCTACACTTTTTGTCCATAACTTCATTTTTTTTAAAACACTCAAAAGACGGAAGTCTGTGTTTTGGTGGGCCATGGAGATAGCTTACTGTTATATCCCTTCTGTAAGCCTGGATTCAGATACTGTAGAGTGGGATCAAGTGGCAGATTGGTCAGATAGAGTGAGGCCACCTAGGTCAACCCAGAATTGGATTAAAAATACTGGAAACATTACTTCAAACCCTATCATATTTCACCAATCCAAGAATCCAGCATTCTTGGTGAAAAATACCTGCCAAAATCAGTTCACAGAGCCCTTAGATTCTGCTCTCTCCAGTGGAAGGACACACTGACAATCAGATTGGATATTTCAGTGAAAACAAAGGCTCAGCAAAAATAGCAGCTGTAATAGCAGGGTGGCCTTTTAACAAAAGAATGTGAGTAGTCTAGAGAAGGGACGATGCTGCACCCAGTAGATAGCAGTGTCTGGGCTACTTCAGTACACAGTGATACCAGATTGAGAAGCAGCATCTTTGAAAGACATTTGATGTTATCTTTGTAACAGAAAATTTACTGTGAGGACCAGGAAAAGCTTCGTAGCAATGAGGTCTATAAGACTGTGGAAGATTCTCCCAAGGGAAGTAATGGACTGCCTCCTTATGCGACATGTAAATTTGGACATAATACAAGATACTGTAGGAACAACCCTGCATTGGCCTTTAGGGATGGATTGGATGTGATTTAACAAGGCTAACAGCAGTTTAACTGACCCAAATTCCGTGAACTGGTGGTATTGTTCCAGAAGGGGTCAGCTAATTTTCTGGAGTTAGGCTTTCTCAAAGCCACATCAGAAGGCATGACTTACTAGTAATGCAGCAGTCTCTTGTAAATGGGCGGCAACAAGAACAGCGAACTCACAAAGAGTTGCATTTAGGAGCTGGACATTTCCTGTACAGACTAATTTGCAACTGGTCTCCACTCAAGATGAGAACCTGCTTTGTACTTTGGGTTTCGTTATGTACAGGTAAGAAAAATACTTCAACATAGCTAATGTCTAAAATGTGTTTTGAGAACCATGGCTCACAGGTGTGTGTATATGTTTATTTCAGTGTTGAATCATCACACATCTCATGAGACTCAAGACTTTTCTGCTCTGGGTTGTTTTGCACTGAGGTAGCTTCATCAGTGCAAAAAGAGACTGTTTCAAATTGGGGTAAATTTCCCTGGTGCCAGTCACTTTTTACACAAGTGCAGGTAAATGGCTTGAAATGGGGCATATACATTCATTTCTTGCTTTATAGGTTTGCAATACGATGTGAAATTTCACATGGGTTAAGTTTTAGGCCCTTTGAATTTTCTCTGTAGTTCATGTTTGGTTGCTTTTCATATATTTGTAATAGCATGTTTCTGAAATTTGTCTATGACAGTCTCATTTTTGTCAGTGGTGGGGAGGGATAGCTCAGTGGTTTGAGCATTGGCCTGCTAAACCCAGAATTGTGAGTTCAATCCTTGAGGGGGCCATTTAGGGAACTGGGGTAAAAATCTGTCAGGGGATTGGTCCCCCTTTGAGCAGGGGATTGGACTAGATGACCTCCGGAGGTCCCTTCCAACCCTGATATTCTATGAATATGCATTTTAATAGCATTGTGAATCTACACGAACCTTGGCAGAAAGATGAATCTTGAAGAGTACATGGGGGTAGTTTTATTCAAAGAAATGTTTAGGATTAGGAGTAATTCTTTTCCTCTATTCATCAGCACTTAAAACGTGTATGTAAATTAGCATGTAAAACTGTCCCAGTGAGGTACTTGCAGAACCACATATGTGAAACCATGGATTTATTCCTGAGATGGGTAGAGAGTAGTGTGTGGTGATTATGAGGGCTATTAACTGGTGAGATGGATTTGAAAGGGGAATCTCAACATTTATGTAACAGATAGCTGATAGATAACATGTGCTTGAAGCGGATCCTCAACAGTTCTTAAGTTCTTATGACTTAAACACACAGCAAAGATGAACAGTAACCCTGTCAATTTCCTGTGATTTGACCATTTCCTATGTGAACAAGTTGTTGTCAGACGCCACCAGTGTAGTGCTCTGCTCAATCCAATGTTGATATCAGTTGGCTGCGGGCGTGTGTTCCCTCTGTGTGCTGCCCCGGCTCTGCAGATAGCTGGCACAGCAGACCCCCGAGAGAACCCCCAATGACCACAGACTCCGATAAGGTACGAAGGCACCCAGCCAGGTTTATTGCCAAACAAAACACAGTCTCTAGCTCCCCGGATCAGATATCTACAGTTCTGCTAGTACATATGTGCTCCCTGACAATGGACCAGCTCAGTCAGTGGCAGGACTTTCCACTGCCCCCTAGGCCAGACAAAGACACCGCCCCAGGGATGCATTCTTATACACAGGTACAAACAAGTTACACATCATTCCTGACGTAGCGAGGCACAACCCCTCTACACAGTAAGGTGCCGCCTCTCACCTTGTACATGTTGGTTTGAACAAAACAACTCTCATATTACCCTTTCGACCCTGTCTTTAGGATGGGTCAGCCTGTTCCTTGTTATCTGCGTGGAATGTGCAAGTATCCGAGTGTTCTGATAACTAGTGTCCAGTACCTTTTAGGTATGTATCTTTTTGCAGCATCAGCCCTTTTCTTGCCAGCTTCTGTCAGCAGGGCCTGCCTCTGGCTCACAACTTAACTTTGCTTTATGTTAGCAAAGTCTTGACCATTACTTTAGCTCAGGCCTAAGGCCTCATCAGAGGCACGGTATAAGGGTTTATGTTTCAGGGCCTCATCTTACTACACAAGTATCAACATGAGAACTTGTCATCTTAGCACTCTGGCATCTTTATTCACAAGAACAAAATAAGTTACCTTACAAAATATATTTTAAATTAAATACAAAAAAAGCTACATCAAAAACTATGTCCAAGATCCAAAGAAAAGCACTAAGGAAATGCCAAGGGTAGGGTTGGCTATGCAACATTGACTCTCCCCATCCATACCTATTATTTCTCCCACAGGTCCCCTGCCTCATTCAGCGCACAGGTTGGATGAAGCTCAGTGAATTAGGCAGCACACATTGGTGGGGGGAGGGCGAGGAGGAGGAGGAGGGTTCTTCGACTGAGCCACCCTGTTAGGTGGATACTTGCCAAAAGCTGCCAATTACTGCTGATTTGTTATTGCAGCT